AAAAGATCAGAGCCATTGCCGAGATGGAACCGCCGAAATCAGTGAAAGATATACAGAGGTTAACTGGAAGGGTGGCAGCTCTACATCGGTTCATATCGAAGTCAGCAGACAAATGTCTGCCATTTTTCAAAATTATGAGGTTGGCCGCCCAGAAAGACGAATCAGGAAAGCAAAAGAAGTTCGAATGGAGCCAAGAATGCCAAGCTGCATTTGAAGAGCTGAAGTCTTATCTTAGCTCACCGCCTCTGTTGACTAAAGCTGTAGATGGAGAGCTTTTATATTTGTACCTGGGGGTTTCAGATGAGGCCATTAGTTCAGTTCTGGTGAGAGAAGAAGCTAAGCCGCAGAAACCAATTTATTATATCAGCAGCGTGCTGCATGGGGCAGAGCTGAGGTATCCTATAGCTGAGAAAGCAGCATTAGCAGTCGTCACTTCGGCCAGGAAGTTGAGGCCATATTTCCAGTCACACCCAATTATCGTTCTCACCGATCAACCTCTCGGGCAGATTCTGCAGAAACCAGAGTGCTTTGGAAGACTAATTAAATGGGCAGTAGAATTGGGAGAGTTTGAGATAACATTTCAGCAGAGATCGGCCATCCGAGCTCAGGCATTAGCAGATTTTATTGTCGAATGCACTCCATGTCCTTCAACCTCTAATCCAGAGCCCAACGACTGGACCTTATATGTTGACGAAGCATCTAGTAGCAAGGGTTCAGGGGCTGGCGCTCTCTTGATTGGTCCAGATGGATACCGAAGCGAACATGCCTTGAAGTTCAACTTTGATGTGACAAATAACATGGCTGAGTATGAAGCTCTGCTACTTGGTTTACAGCTAGCATTGGAGTTGAAAATCAGTGTAATTCAAGTATACAGCGACTCATAGTTAGTGGTAAACCAAATCAACTTGATCTGCGAAGTTGTTGATCCTGTGATGGTGAAGTACGTAGCCTTGGTGGCTGAGCTGAAGTGCAAATTCCAGAAATTCTGTCTAAGCAAAATCCCCCTAACCGAGAACGAACAGGCAGATTCACTCTCTAAATTCGCCTCTGATAGTTCTTCACATTCCAGATCCGTTTTTGTGGAGGTCTTAGATGAACCAAGCTTCATGAAGCCTCGGATGATGGAGATTAGCACAAACCCTGACACACCGAGCTGGACTGACTCAATTATCTCCTTTTTGCGCGATGGAACAGTACCTGAGGACAGGCAGGAAGCAATGAAGTTGAGGAAGAAAGCATCTCGGTATACACTTGTTGATGGGGTCCTCTATAAAAGATCTTTTTCACTTCCTCTTCTACGATGTTTGAATCCCTACGAAGCTGAGTATGCACTTCGAGAGGTACATGAAGGTGTCTGTGGGAGCCACGTTGGTGCTAGAACTCTGGCTCACAAAGTCTTAAGGCAGGGATATTACTGGCCAAACATGTATAAGGATGCCATTCACTTTGTTCAGAAATGTCTGAGGTGCCAATTCTTTGCACATCTGACTCACCAACCTGCAGAAGAACTCACGACCTTGGTAGCACCATGGCCATTTGCACAGTGGGGACTAGATCTTTTGGGTCCATTCGTGAAAGGGGTTGGTGGTGTAACCCATTTGGTTGTTGGTGTGGATTATTTCACGAAGTGGGTGGAAGCTCGGCCTTTATCTAGTCTTACCTCCAAGAAGGTCGAAGATTTTGTTTTTAGCTCGATCATCTGCAGATATGGAATCCCGAATCAAATTGTGGCTGATAATGGAACTCAATTCAATTGCTCCTCATTC